TCAGAAACTTATTTTTATTGACATATAAACAGTAAAGTACACAAATCTTAGTATACAGGTTGATGAGTTTTCTAAATCTATACATCAGTGTAACACCCAGGCCAAAACATAAGACATTTACAGCACACCAGCAGATTTACGCCACCTCCCAGTCAGCCCCTCCTCCAAAAATAATAGTATTCTTACCTCTATCACCATAAATTCCTTTGCCTGGTTTTGAACTTCATATAAATGGATCTATGTAATATATACTTCTGTATATGGCTTTTGTTTTTTTTTGAGACAGAGTCTTGCTTAGTCGCTCGGGCTGGGAATGCAGTGGTACGATCTTTACCACTGCAATCTCTACCTTCCAGGCACACACCATTCTCCTGCCTCAGCCTCCTGAGTAGCTGGGACTACAGGTGCCCACCACCATGCCCGGCTAATTTTTTTTTTGTATTTTAGTAGAGGCAGGGTTTCACCATGTTAGCCAGGATGGTCTTGATCTCCTCAACCCCAGGATCCACCCGCCTTGGCCTCCCAAAGTGCTGGGATTACAGGCGTGAGTCACCGGCCTGGCATGGCTTCTTTCTTTCAAGATTATGTCTAAGATTCATCCATGTTACTACCATGTGCAGTAGTTGGTTCTTTTTCATTGCTATATATCACTCCATTATGTAAATATGCCAACCAATTCCTACTGGCTTATTTACTTCATGACGCTTAGATAACCAAGTTGGTGCTACCGGTTGAGGGCATTATGAATAAGCTTCTAGAGACTCTTTCTAAAAAAATGTTTGTCAACTAACAAATTATAGTTGTATATATTTATAGGTACAAATGTAATGTTTATGATTTATGAATACAATGTGGAATAATAAACACAAGCTAATTAACATATCCATCACCTCAGATACTTACATTTTGTGATAAGAACATGTGTACATTCTTATGTGTGTCTTTTGGTAGACATAAACACTCATTTCCTGTTGGAAGTGTACCAAGGAGTAGAATTGCTGGATCATAGGGTGGGCACATGTTTAGATCTAGCAGATAATACCAAGTAGTTTTCCAAAGTGGTTGTAATGATTGATATTCCCACCAGCTATATCTAAGAGTTCCAGTTGCTTGGCATTCTTGCCAATACTTGACATTGGCAGTCCTTTTAATTTAGCCACTTTGATAGATATATCGTGGTATCTCAGTGTTATTTTAATTTGTATTTTTTGGTGACTAAAGATATTGAGCCGCTTTTTCTAAGGGGTTGATAATGATGGCCTATTTTGAGAAGTACTCGTTGAAACCTTTGACCAATTTTATTTGTCCTTTTCTTAGTGGTTTGTAGGAATTATTTATATAGAGTGGATAGAAGAATACTTGTGAGATACAGATACCACAGATCTCCTCTCCCATTCTGTGGCTTGCCTTTTCATTCTTTCAGTCTTGTGATGAATAGAAGTTCCTAATTTTAATGAAGTCTAATTTATTGACTTTTCTTCTGTGATTTGTCTATTGTGTTTCCAACACACAATAGATAAATCACAGAATTGGTGTTCTGTTTTGAAAATCATGTTATGTCTTAACCTGCAGAAGAGATTCTCTATGTAGACATTTTATTTCTTTACCTTTTACGTTTAGGTATAAGAGATTTATTTAATACTAATTTGGTGTATTATGTGAGATAGGATCAAAATTTTTTTTAATGTAGAGAGCCACTGCTCATGATAAAATGCAATAAACTGAGACTAGAAGAGCCTTTAATCTGATAGTAGATACTTACAGAAAAAAATGCTTGCTCTCTTGCCTTCCTTTCCCCTTCCCTTCCCTCCCTCTCTCCTCTCTCCCCTCCCCTCCTCTCTCCCCTCCCTCCCTCCCTCCCCTCCCTCTTCCCTCCTCCCTCCCCTCCCCTCCCCTCTCTCCCTCCCTCCCTCCCCCTCCCCTCCTCCCTCTCCCCTCCCCTCCCTCTTCCCCTCCCCTCCTCCCCTCCTCCCCCCCTCCTCCCCTCCCCTCCCCTCCCTCCCCCTCCCTCCCCCTCTCCTCCCTCCCCTCCCCTCCCCTCCCCCTCTCCTCCCCTCCCCTCCCCTCCTCCCCCGCTCCTCCTTCCCTTCCCCGTCCTGTCCTGTTCCTTTCCTTTCCATTCCGACAGAGTCTCATTCTGTTGCCAGGCTGGAATGCAGTGGTGCGAATTTCAGCTCACTGCAACCGCCACCTCCCAGGTTCAAGTGATTCTCCTGCCTCAGCCTCCTGAGTAGACAGGACTACAGGTGCGTGCCACCATGCCCAGCTAATTTTTTGTATTTTCAGTAGAAATGGGGTTTTCTACCATGTTGGCCAGAATGGTCTCGATCTCAAGGATCTTGTGATCTGCCTGCCTTGCCTCCCAAAGTGCTGGTATTACAAGTGTGAGCCACTAATCCGCCACATTTTTCTTAATGATGAAATGCTGAATGCTTTTCCCCTTGAGGTTAGGAACAAGACAAGTATGTCTGTTATCACCTCTTCTAATCAACATCATGCCAAAGGTCCCAGGCAGTGTGAATAAGGCAAGAAACAGAAATAAAAGATTGCTGAAGAAACTGTCATTATTTGCAGATCACTTGGTTGTGTATGCAGAATCTGAACTATTAAAATTAAATAACTAACAAAATCACTGGATAATAATACAGAGAATCAAAGGTACTTCTATATACAAGTAACAGTTTAGAAGCACCACGTACATAGAGATACACCTAATAAATAACATTTAAGACTCATACACTGAAAACTATAAAACATTGCTGAGAGAAATTAAAAATAATGAAGGGATATACAATATTCATTGATTGAAACATTCAGCATTGTTACAATATTCGGTTTTGTTTTATTTTTCTTTTGTTTCTTTTCTTTTTCTCTTTTGTGATAGAGTCTTGTTCTGTCACCCAGGCTGGAGTGCAGTGGAACAATCTTGGCTCACTGCAGCCTCTGCCTCCTGGGATCAAGTGATCCTCTCACCTCAGCCTCCCAAGTAGCTGGGACTACAGGCACACGCCACCATGCTCAGCTAATTTTTGTTTTTTTTTTTTTTTTTTTTTTTTTGGTAGAGAAAGGTTTGCTAATGCCCACCCAGGCTGGTCTCGAATTCCTGGACTCAAGCAACCCACCCACTTCAGCCTCCCAAAGCAAGCTGGAATTACAGGCATGAGTCAATACACCTGGCCTTATTTTCTTTTATGCTCCCAATACCTACCCTGGTGCCTTGCAAATAGAAGGAATCTCAGAATGATTATAGATTTACAGGAAAGTTGGAAAAATAGTAAAAGATCCTGTTTTCCCAATGATAACATCTATATAACCTCTGGTACAATATTAAAACCAAGAAATTGACATTGCTAACCACAAACCTTATTCAGATTTTGCCAGTTTTATACAACGTGCGTGTGTAGTTGTGTGTAATCTACTACAAATTCTGTGTAACCATCATGTGCTCAAGATACAGAATCCAGCCATCACCGTCAAAGATCCTTCTCGTCTTCGTAGTCTACTCCTTTGCCCTCCATTTCACTCCCTAGCAATCACCAATCTATTATCCATCTCTATAGTTTTATCAGTGTGAATAAGTGAATGAGAAAATAGTGATATCATTTTGCATCAAGTTTTGTTAAAGAGATATCAAAGAGGAAAGCTCCTTTGCAAAACCTTAAAGAATGAAGTTCTGTAGGTGCTATCTCATTTCCTAGTCTTCACTTTGCCTCTTAAAAGCTTGAGTTTGGCTGGATGCCATGGTTCACACCTGTAATTCTAGCACTTTGGGAGGCCAAAATGGGTGGATGGCTTGAGCTCAAGAATTCACACCAGCCTGGGCAACACAGCAAAACTCCATCTCTACAAAATAAAAATTAAAATTAGCTAGGTGTGGTGGCGCATACCTATAGTCCTAGCTGCCTGGGAGACTGAGGTGGGAGGATTCTTGAGTCCAGAGGCAGAGGTTGCAGTAAGCTGAGGTCGTGCCACTGTACTCCAGCCTGGGTGACATAGGAGACTCCTGTCTCAACAGCAACAAGAAAGCTTGTGCTTGAATTTTATCATATTGCCCCTAATGTTTAGATTCAAGAGGTCCAAATTTTACCAATCAGAGTTAGACTGATGATCCATGATACCAATATATTAATTTGGGGGAATGTGTTGACTAGTTAGTGCACCACTGTCTTCCCCCAAAGGAAACCAAATTATAAGAGACTAAATTATTCTCAAGGCTGCCAGATGAGCATTGTATCAAAGTAAAAGGGTAACATTAGCCATTTCTAGCATGGAGAGGTAGCAATCATGACTGCACTCTTTATAGAGTCCTGTGCATAGCACCTAGTTTCCTTAAATGAGTTTTAAGATAATTGGGTGAAAGTGTAGTTACTTGAGGTCTTCCAAGTTTTCCAGATGTATCACTTGTTGTGGTGTCATACATATGTTATGATACTTTTAAATTTTAACCAGAATGGTCTTTTTCCTTGTCACCAAATGCTGGGGACACCATTGTAGTCACCATTGTATGCCAACTACATTTGGGGCTCTAAAGCTCTAAGATTAGGCCGGGCACAGTGGCTCACGCCTGTAATCCCAGCACTTTGGGAGGCCAAGGTCAGGAGTTCGAGACCAGCCTGGCCAACGTGGTAAAGCCCCGTCTCTCTTCTAAAAACACAAAAATTAGGCTGGGCGTGGTGGCGGGCACCTGCGCAATCCCAGCGCTCGGGAGGTTGTGGCAGAGAATCGCTTGAACTTGGGAGGCAGAGGTTGCAGTGAGCCAAGATTGCACCACTACACTCCAGCTTGGGCAACAAGAGCTAGACGCCTCGCTTTCCAAAAATAATAATAAATAAATAAATAAATAAATAAAGCCTTCCTAAGAGTTTATAACTTCCATGAGGCAGATCCTTCAGCTCTGCCGCATTTAGGCCTTAACCTTATCAGTACTAAGTCAAAATCAGGAGAAGGAGTATCTTAATTATGGGCATTTCTTTGGTATATTCCTTGATTCTTATTCCTAGGTAGATTTCGGGCAGACAACTTGAACAAGCTTAAGAACCTATGCAGCAAGACGATCGGAGAGAAATGAAGGTAAGAGAACTTTATGGAACAAACAGCCGTGAGAGCTTGAGCGGAGATATTTGATCTTGCTCTTAGCTAATGTTCACAGAAGTTCTAACTCAGTGTTTTAAGTCTACAAGATGTTCAATTTCTCTACCAAAGGGGAACATTATTTTAAAAGATAGGGGAGGCAGGGAAAACTGAGGCACTTTCATACTTTACCACAAGTCCATCTTCTGTGTTCAGGTAAGATTCTTTGTTGTCTAGCCGTTTGTTGTCTATTCTGTTCTTACATTAGAAATATAAATTCCATCAGTCATCTTTTTTAATGGCAGATTTCAGATTTGTCGTCTCAGTGTAGTTGTGCTCCATAATGAAAACAGTACAGATTCAGAGTTCAAATCTTGCTACGTTATGTGACTTTTAGGCAAGTTAATGTCTGAGCCTCAGTTTTCTCATCTATAAAATGACAATGCTAAACCTATAGAATGGAATTGTTAGAACTTTTTTAAAAATTTAAATGCCAAGCAAATGGTTATATAGAACTAAATTTCTTTCAAATGTAGAAAATTTGGCTTAGTGTCAAGAACATGTAGTTGTTCAGCAATTGTGGGTTATAATGGATGGCAAGTAATGTTACTGGCCTTCATCCAAAAATCTCCTTCCTAAGTGCCTGGAAAATATCACGCTTCAGCTCAGCTGCTTTGGTATCCAGAATAGTTCATGTTTTTAACTTTCTTTTTTAAAAATACCTTGCTTAGCTCCCTTAATCATATTACATTACATATTATAGCTAGGTACAGTAGCTCACGCCTGTAGTCCCAGCACTTTGGGAGGCCAAGGTGGGCAAATTGCTTGAGCTCAGGAGTTTAAGACCAGTCTGCACAACATGGTGAAACCCCGTCTCTACAAAAAATAAAAATAAAACAATTAGCCAGGCTTACGGTCGCGCCTGTAGTTCCAGCTACTCAGGAGGCTGAGGTGGGAGATCACTTGAAGCCAAGAGGTAAAAGTTGCAGTGAGCCAAGATTGCGCTACTGAACTCCAGCCTGGGTTTCCAGTGAAACCCTGTCTCCAAAAAAAAAAAAAAACAACAATGAATTAATTAAATGCACTTTACAATCTAGATACTTTTAAGTTGTGAACCTCAAACTAAACAACAGCAACAAAAAACATTATAGAACCTTTGAACCACACCAGTAAAGAGCATAAAAAGACACTGATTCTTGCACCTTACTCTTGACTTCATGACAGCTTGGCATCTTTCTCTTTGACAATATTTTGTTAAACTTTCAGCTTGGGTAACACTTTAGCTGTGGGAAAGTGGTATTGATAATCATCCAGTTTCTCTTCTGTGGGACTTAGTCATTTGCATGCTAGAGACCCCATACTTATGTGTTAATTCCCACATACTCCTCCCTGGGTGTTCTTTGGGACCTATGTACAGTCAGTGCCAGCTGGGTATTTTTTGTAGCAAGAAGATGGGATTGTGAGTGTTGTCATTTACAATAACATTCTTAGATCTGATTTTGTTGCTAGCCATGCAGGCAGTGTTCACTCCTTTACTGCCATTGAAATGGTAATGATAGTGCGTTTAATTTGTAGAGCACTTTAAACATTCAGATACTTTCACAGACATCTCATTTTGGTTTTGATCCTTACTGCAAAGCTGGAGTGCAGATAGTACATTTGTCAGCCTTATTTAATGGGTAAGGGAATCGCTTAGGAAATTAAAGAGCTTGCTTAAAATCATATCTGGGTTTTAGTTGCAGAGCCAAACCTTGAGTTTGAACTTGAATTTGCTGCCCTGGGGGCTATCAAACAGCAAAGGAGCCTGGTAACTATCTTGCTAACGTATCACCCTGCCTGATGCCATTGCAAATATCTTGAGATTTAGTCCATTTTTTTTCCTACCTGTGTAGTCTGTTTGTTCTTATCAAGACTCATTCTGATAGTTTCCAAATTTTTCCAACTTTTTTCCTTTTTTGAGACAAAGTCTTATTTTGTTGCCCAGGCTGGAGTGCAGTGGCACAATCATGGCTCACTGCAGCCTCAACCTCCTGGGCCCAAGCAGTCCTCCTGCCTCAGCCTCCCTAGTAGCATGCCACCACACTCGGCTAATTTTTTTTTTTTTTTTTTCGTAGAGATGGAGTCTCCCCTATGTTGCCACTGCACCTGGCCAGGGATTTTCACTTAAGATGATTTTTCTCGAGTCACTGAATAGTTATGTGAGTGGAGTTATATTAGAATTTTGATCATATGAGAATGTGTGTAATGAACCTAAAGGATTTCTATGCTTTACATTTGTGAGATTTAGTCCGCTCTTTCTTTTCTTTTTTTTGAGACAATGTCTTGCTCTGTTGCCCAGGCTAGAGTGCAGTGGCATGATCATAGATCACTGCAACCTCCAACTCCTTGGCTCAAGCACCTCAGCCTCTTAAGTAACTAGGACTATAGACACATGTCACTGTGCCTGGCTAATTTTAAAGTCACCCAGGCTGCAGCACAGCAGCACAAGCATAGCTCACCACAGCCTCTAATTCTGGCTCATGCAATCCCACCTCATCCTCCCAAGTAGCTGAGAGCACAGGTGTACCTAATTATGCCTGGCTAATTTAAAATATATATATTTAGATATGGGGTCTCACTCTCACACCCAGGCTGGTCTTGAACTCTTGGGCTAAAGTGATCCTCCCACCTCAGCCTACCATGTAGCTGGGATTACAGTTGCAAGCCACTATACCTGGTTATACTTTGTTTTATTTATACTTACAAAGCAGATGCTAAAATATTCTTACGCAAGTTTTGCTGAAGTCTCATATCATGCAATGTTCTTGGACTAACTTTCTTTAAGTCTTTTTTTTTTTTGAGACAGAATCTCAATCTGCCAGGCTGGAGTGCAGTGGTGCGATCTCGACCACTGCAACCTCCGCCTCCCGGGTTCACTCCATTCCTCCCGCTGGGTAGCTGGGACTACAGGCACCTGCCACAATGCCCGGCTAATTTTTTTGTGTGTGTTTTCTTGTAGAGACGGGATTTCACCATGTTAGCCAGGATGGTCTCGATCTCCTGACCCGTGATCCGCCACCTTGGCCTTCCAAAGTGCTGCGACAGCAGTGAGCCACTGTGCTCCGGCCAACTTCTTTTTTTTTTTTTTTTTTTTGAGACGGAGTCTCACTCTGCAGCCCAGGCTGAGGCAGGAGGTGATCTTGGCTCACTGCACCTGCCTCGATTTCAAGTAATTTGTTCTTCAGCCTCCCAAGCAGCTGGGATTACAGGTGGGTCGCTACCATGCTCAGCCACCTTGTATTTTTAGTAGAGAAGGGGTCACCCATCTTGGCCAGGCAGGTGTTGAACTCCTGACCTCATGATCCACTTGCCTCAGCCTCCCAAAGTGCTGGAATTACAGGCATGAGCCACAGTGCCCTGCCAACTCATTTTAATTTAAGAAGAATTTAACTCTTTAAGGGATCTTCTTAAATTCACCTGGTTTTGTGCAAGGATTACAAGTGATGATTTAGCAGAATTATCATACAGAAGGACGAGAAGAGAAACTAGAGAGAACGAAATCCAGCCCTGGTTACACCCCTGCCATTGTGTCAAATTGCATTGATTGTTCTAAACTTAGTTCCAGATCCTGTGACTTTTTGTTTGTTTGTTTTCCTTTGGCTGTCTGATATGTCATCGCCCATCCATCTTTCCCCTTAGCTCAATGTTGGGATTATTGTTAGCAGGTAGATAAGAATCTACACTTGGGGTGGGTGCAGTGGCTTATGCCTGTAATCCCAGTACTTTGGGAGGTCAAGGTGGGAGATCACTTGAGACCAGGAGTTTGAGATCACCCTGTCCAACATAATGAAACCCTGTCTCTATTAAAAATACAAAAAAAATTAGCCAGACATGGTGGCGCACTACTGTAATCCCAGCTACTTGGGAGGCTGAGGCAGGAGAATCACTTGAAACCGGGAGGTGGAGGCTGCAGGCTGAGAGCACGCAAACTGCACTCCAGCCTGACGACAGAGTTAGACTCCGTCCAAAAAGAATCCACACGCAGGTGTGTCTGCTCCCAGGGCTTACCTGAGCACTGGCGCGCTGCCTCTCCTGGGTTTGTAGCTCATGAGCATTTCCCAAATCAATTCCTTCTGATTCCTATGAGGACCTACGCACAGGGAGGACATTCTTCTCGTATTCTCTTGTGGACAGCACTTCTGACCAGACAGATTAATTAATTTTAGATCAAACACTACTAAGGGTGCATAGGGGCTTGACACTTTGGATTTCTGCTTAGTAATTTCAATTTTTTTTTCTAAGTATGTTGTATCTTTAGAAAAATTTATGTAGGGTTCTGTGATTCGCTTATATAACACGTTAATTCCAGGTTTACTTTATAAACAATGCCAGAGATTTTCTTTATTGATTTGTGTTGGGCTTTTTCCCTTCCTGCAGAAAAAGAGCCAGTGAACATGATGAGTCTGTCCCAGAGAAGTCGTGTTGAATTCTCGGCGACCTTACTGCAGACGCTTTAGCTGTAAGTTAGAGTCCTTTTCTAAGTTAGGATCTCTGCTGTTTTGTCTTAATTTTATTCCTAGACAGCAAGTGCTCACACGCTGCTGCACACAGCATTGTGACATCCTTCATTTCTGCTGCTGGAAATGTCCCCACCCATTCTTATATATTCTATATTTGAGTATTTATTAGACATGGAGATGGAGACAGATGGAGTGGGAGAGTCAAGGGCAGGGAAGAATAGAAAAAGGAAAGGAACTGTGTTTGGTTTATATAGTCTATTTTCTACCCTTTGTTACACAAAGGCAAGAAACTTCAACTTACTGTAATACAGTAAACATTCAGCACGCTGTAAGAGGAGTAATTTTTGAGTTTTTTAGTCACTGAACCCTTTCTTGAAACCCTTAACATATAGCAAGAACATAAACCAAAAAAGCAAAGTTGCTGTGCTTGAAGGGCTCGGATTGGGGCCCTGAGCCTGCCTGGCCCTACTGCTAAAGGATTTCGCCTTAAAAAGAAGTAAGAGCACAGTTTGAAACAGCTGCAATACAGAATCCAAAAATATGCTTCAGACAAATCTCTTACTCCTAATAAATTTATAATCTCCCTAGAGAACAGTTAAATGCAGCACATCAATAGAGGCTAAGTTGGTTCAGTCAAGAAAATCAGAACTGCAGATTAAGGGAAAGTTCTACAAGAGCGGCAGTACTAACATTTCTGTGATGTATGGAACAAGAGAGGGCTGAACTATCCATCTCTGCCTCTGCTAATTACCAAGGAAAAATGCCGATGGATTTGTAGAGCAAGATCAAGCATATCCGTGTGTGAAATCAATCTCAGTTCTTAAAAGTCTCGTTTCAGTTTTTAAATGCTATCGCATGGGCTCTCTTTAGAGCAATAAACAGTGTTAGGCAACCAAATCTTATTCCTGTGCTGTCCTCATTTCGCTGTCCTGCTTATGGCCTGGCCTGTTCATCTACAGAACCTGAAAGTCTCTACAAATCAAAAAGTCCGACTTCATTGACGAAGCTATCCTGAAGTGTGTGACGCGGAGCGATAAAGCGAAGCAGAGCGATTTGGAGAACCTTCGAGAGATTAAACCTCTGCACTCCTTCTGTGCCCATCAGTAATGATGAGGTAGTGGCTGTGACTTCAGCGGGAGGCAACCTTAGGTGGTTGCTCCTGCAGGGGCAGGGACGGAGGAGATCTGTGGAACACTGGCACTCTCTGTCGTGAAGCAGGTTCTTTGTATATTCCCTCTGTCCACCAATTGAGAATTGCAGGAGTCAGATCCTTGTCTGATTGGGAAGTAGCAGAGACAGCAGGTAGGAGGAGACTCCTGGCACAGATATCTCTTCTAAATAGGGCTGCTGTCCTCCACTGCAGTTGCTCCGTGGTAGCAGGCGTCTCTTAGGAGGGATCTAAATCAACCTAACCCTCACCCACACCCCGCTCGAGAAGCTGCACCATGGAATCTGCATGATAAAGGTTTCCTGCTGAGCGGAGCTCCTCGCACAAAGCTGCTCTGAGCCCAGCCTTTGTTCCCTGACACCCCAGCCGAGCAGGGCCCATCTGTGCCTCTTTCATTCATTCCCAGAACATTAAACTCACTGCAGGCTGGGGTGTGCAGGAGGCTGCAGAGCACAGACCATGAGCAGACTCAGGAGGTCAGGGTCCCGAGTCCACCCTCATGTGGCCCTGGGACCAATGAGAGCCTGGAAAAAAAAACTACATTCTCCTCTGCACCCCCAGGCAATGGGATTGTCTTAGAAGAGTTATCCTTGTGCAGGATTTGAGAGGTAATTTAAAAGGGTAAAAAAAACAAAAAAACCGAGAGAATACTGTAGACCTCTTGGAAAATCATCCTTCCCAGTTTCATAGCTAGAATTACTTCTCAAACTTGTAAGTTATTACTTCTCCATTGAGTATAAGTTGCCTTCTAGTTATGAGACACAGTAGTGTTTGGGTTAAGCGAAGGATGTCACAAAGCCAAGTTAGCTCATGGAATAAAGTTTGGAAAGATGGAGGTTGTAGAATTAAGAAATCATATATCAGCACTTTGGGAGGCCGAGGCGGGCGGATCACAAGCCAGGGAAATCGCACCATGGTGAGGTCCCGTCTCTACAAAAAAATAGAAAAAATTAGCCGGGCGCGGTGGTGGGCACCTGTAGTCCCAGCTACTCAGGAGGCTGAGGCAGGAGAATGGCGTGAACCCGGGAGGCAGAGCTTGCAGTGAGCCGAGATAGTGCCACTGCACTCCAGCCTGGGCGACAGAGCGAGACTCCGTCTCAAAAAAAAAAAAAAAAAAAAAGAAATCATATATCGGGCTTGGCGCAGTGGCTCAGCTTGTAATCCCAGCACTTTGAAGGCCTAGGCAGGAGGATCACTTGAGCCCAGGAATCTGGAGACTAGCCTGGGCAAATATGACACAACCCAGTCTTTACAAAAAATACAAAATTAGCCGAGCATAGTGTCACAAGACCTGTCTGTAGTCCTAGCTAAGGCTGAGGTGGGAGGATCACTGCAGCCTGGAAGGTTGAGGTTGCAGTGAACCAAGATTGTGCCACTGCACTCCAGCCAGGATGACAGAGTAGTAAGACCGTGTCTCAAAAAAAAAAAAAAAAATAACAATAATTTCATTTAAAAATAAAAAAATAAAATCACATGTCATGTATCTTTCTTTCTGGCTCTGTTTCCTTAGGATGCGGACAACAAAGTAGAGAGGATTTGGGGTGACTGCACGTCAGGAAGAAGTACTTCGCGTGGACCTGGTGGTGATGGTAGATGGCTTTGAAGGCGAAAAGGGGGCCGTGGTGGCTGGGAGTCGAGGGTACTTCTTGAAGGTAAGAGCTGGGAACCAGTGAGGATAGGATTATAAAGAAGAAACAAAATTTTTTTTTTTTTTTTTGCGGAGAGACATAACCTACTTAAAGAGGCCCCCAGATCTACCAGTTGTACTCGCCTTTCTGCAAATGTATTGGCAATTAGATGCAATTCTCTTTCTAAAGCAAGAGAGGGCTTTACTGTATTCCTACAGAACAAAAGCCACTAAGTGGTCCTCCATAATGAATGTATGTTTTGCTGACTGAATCAGAACAGTCTCTGCCTTTGCTAGAAGCTCAGTATAATTGGATAGTCAGACAAGTAACAAAGAATCAAAATCCACTGTCAGAAGCACTGTGGTTTGTGTAGGCCCAAAGTGCTTTGAGAACATCAAGATAATTCTCTTAACTGTGTGCCTGGAGAATTCGCTGGGCTTCAGTGTTCAGAATGAATCTCAAGGTTCAGAATGTCAGTTGCTGTGATCTGTGGTCTTTTTTTTTGGCCTCCTGTGTGCCCCTGGGTAGTCCTGTTCTGTCAGCCCAGGTGCCTTGGGTGTTAGGGTGCTAGCTGAACATGACAGTGACAAGACCAGTCACACAGTTCTGTGCCCTGCTCCTCTAGGGGTCCTGGTGTTCCTGGAACAGGCTCTCATCCAGTATGCCCTTCGCACCTTGGGAAGTCGGGCTTAAGATTCCCATTTATACCCCTTTTCATGAGGAAGGAGGTCATGGCAGGAGGTGGTACAGCTCAGCCAGTTTGATGAAGAACTTTATAAGGTGAGTAGCCTGGGTCAGGTGGTAGAATGACTTAAGTTATGTAGCTTAACTTCAGTGATGCAAAGTGGTGCTGTCCAATAGACTGCAATGATGGAAACGTTCTATATCTGTGACTCTTGAGCACTTAAAATGTGGGTGGTACAACGGAGGAAGCACATTTTTTATTTTAATTAATTTTAACTTAAACATGTGGCTAATGACTACCATATTAGACAGTGCAGCTGCAGAGCCTCTTTTACCTTTCCCTGGGTAATCTGTATGATGAATCTAAATCAAGTATACTTCAACACCATGAGCTTAGAAAAGAAGCCCATTCCTTGGGTGCTTGGACAAAAGGAAATTACAGAAGTGGCACTGATCTCTCTAGCCCGCTCCTGTGTCCTTCCACTCCTCACCCCAGACTGGAAGCTTCCCCAGAGTGAGACATACTTGCCTTGGGATGGAGGTGGCTTCCAGTTTGTGGCTGCTTCTCAACCACGGACCATGTCAGGGAGAGCCAGACAATTCAAGTCAAGGTTCAGAAGGTCATTCTGATCAACGGGCTCTAACACCAACAACAGCACCCCACTCTGTGTTCGCACTCAAGATTTCTAGAGCTGCCTCTGTTAACAGCTGTCCAATGCAGCAGTGTCTACTATTCATTTGCTCCTCCCTTTCAACTCTTCTGTCAGAAATAGAGACTTAGTTCCTACTGGCTTATTTCTCTCTGTGACAGTGGAGGTAGTTAGACAACTGCTGTTGGACTCATCTAATTTATATAGGGAGATGGCTCAGTAATTAGAACAATTCTTCCATTGTTTCTATGATGAGGTAAAAGCAATTATGCAAGACGCACTGGGAAACAAAGTGTTCTCCTAAACCCTGAGCATTAGTATAATCCCTGACCTCCTCCCTCTCTGCTTTCTTTTAACGAAGGGAGGAATGTGTTCCTTTACTGGCTAAAACCTGTTTTACCTTTTCTTTCTTTTTCTAATTTCAACCCGTAAGATTAGATAATCATTAAAGAGCATTCAAAGACCCACTGCAGGTGACACTAGGGAGAAACCTATGTGGAGTATTATGGAATTGTTAGGTAGCCGGTGCTCCCTGAGTCCCATGCCTCCATCTCTTACCCAGACGCTTCTTGGACCTACAGTGAAGAATCACAGGTCTTCCAATAGTAAGAATTTTGGCTGGTACTTCTTGTCTGATAAAACCTCAGTTCTGAGAATGAATATAGCTGCCCAATAGAACTCTGCACTGATGGAAATGTGTTCTTGGGTCTGCATGATGCAGGCTTAGAGCAGTGTTACATGTGACTTGAGCACTGAAAATGTGGCTGATGCAACCGAGGAACTACATTTTAATTTAATTTAATTTGTTTTTATTTTTTATTTTTTAATTAATTTCCTCTATAGAGACAGGGTCTCACTATGTTGCCCAAACTGATTTCACCAAACTCCTGGGCTCAAGCAATCCACCTCGCTCAGCCTTCCAAAGTGTTGGGATTATAGGTGGTTTTCACGACGCCCAGCCCAATTTAATTGAAATAGTCATATGTGGCTGGCTATACCATGTTAGGCTGCACAGCCCTTGAGCTTTCGATGTTGTATGTGAATGGCCCCACAGTGGCTACATTCCTACTGCCAGGTAGCGGTAGTTTTCCAGGCTCTAAACACTGACCCAGAGTGAACCTTTCTTCCTGTTTGTTTTTTTTTTTTTTTTTTAATTAAAATACTGCTACATAACAGGTAAAATTTAGAAAATGGCAGAGGAATTACCTGCTTTCCCATTGACCTAATATAACAATTGTCATCTTAAAATACTCACTTTGGGATTTTTTTCATATATATGTTGTTTTCACATACTTATAATTGCCATGTACATAAATTACCTTTTTACTTAGCATTATTTTTTATTTTTATTTTTATTTATGTATTTATTTTTTGAGACAGAGTCTCACTCTGTTGCCCAGGCTGGAGTGCAGTGGCACGATCTTGGCTCACTGCAACCTCTGCCTCCTGGGTTCAAGTGATTCTCGTGCCTCAGCCTCCCGAGTAGCTGGGATTACAGGCGTCGCCACCATATCTGGCTGATTTTTTTTTTGTTTTTTTTTTTGAGACGGTGTGTCACTCTTTCACCCAGGTTAGAGTGAAGTGGCGTAATCTCGGCTCACTGCAGCCTCCACCCACCAAGTTCAAGCGATTATCCCGCCTCACCCTCCTAAGTAGCTGGGACTACAGGCATCCACCACCATGCCCGGCTAATTTTTTTTTTTTTTGTATTTTTAGTAGAAACGGTGTTTCGCCATGTTGGCCAGGTCGGTCTCGAGCTCCTGACCTCAGGTGAACCACCCGCCTCAGCCTCCAAAGTGCTGGTATTATAGGCGTGAGCCATCGCGTCCGGCCACACCTGGCTAATTTTTGTATTTTTAGTAGTGATGGGGTTTCAGCAAGTTGGCCAGGCTGGTCTTGAACTCCTGACCTCAGGTGATCTGCCTGCCTAGGCCTCCCAAAGTGCTGGGATTACAGGCATGAGCTACCGTGCCCGGCGGCCTTTTTATGTAGCATTATATCAAAAGTGGTTTTCTGTGTTACTGCATGGTCTTCATTTTTATGGTTGTATATTACATAAATAATGTTACAGTGAATTTTGTCCTGTCTGAACTTTTTTTTTGGTGCATTATTTTCTTGAGCTGAACAGCAAAGTACATTCTTTAAGGATCATAACCACTAACCTATAAGTACCAAGAAAGCAGAGACTGGTGTCCCTTTTTGCAACACATTGGTGTTTAGTAAACACTTCGCAAGGATTAATTTATGTGGCTACCAGCACAGGTATATTGCATACCTGCCAGCATTGACCATTATTCATCATAGATGAGTTTTCTTTATTAGATAGGTGGAAAATAGCTGGGCATAGTGGCTCACACCTGTAATCTCAGCACTTTGGGAGGCTGAGGCAGGTGGATCACCTGAGGTCAGGAGTTCCAGATCAGCTTGGCCAACATGGTGAAACCCTGTGTCTACTAACAATACAAAAATTAGTGTCTACTAACAATACGGCAAAAAAAAAAAGCATGGTGGCGCATGCCTGTAATCCCAGCTACTCAGGAGGCTGAGGCGGGAGAATCGCTTGAACCTGGGAGGTGGAGGTTGCAGTGAGCCAAGATTGTGCCACTGCACTCCAGTGTGGGCAACAGAGTGAGACTCTGTCTCAAAAGAAAAAAAAAAGATAAGTGGAAAATATTCTTTCCTCTTAATTTACATTTCTTTGATCTCTGTCTGGGACCCCATTGTGGACTGACCCTTTCCTTTATCTTTTTAGTATTCTCTCCCCACTCCCAGGCAGGGATTAAAGGAAATTTTTCCTGCACTATCACTGATATCTTTCTTGTGGTTTCTTATTCTAGCCAAGGTCCTCCCCTCTTCCTCTTAACTGGTATAGCTCCTTGCTTCCACAGGTGATTGGCAAAGGCAGTGAAAAGTCTGATGACAACTCCTATGATGAAAAGTACCTGATTGCCACCTCAGAGCAACCCATCGCTGCCCTGCACCGGGATGAGTGGCTCCGGCCGGAGGACCTGCCCATCAAGTACGCTGGCCTGTCTACCTGCTTCCGTCAGGAGGTGGGCTCCCATGGCCGTGACACCCGTGGCATCTTCCGAGTCCATCAGTTTGAGAAGGTGAGTAGATGGGTCAGGGTAGGGAGTGGACCTTTCTCTCTCTCCAGAAGGGTTAGACGAGAGATGGGATCTGTGTTGCTGAGACCCATCCTGGCTCCAGCTTTTCCTCTCATTGCTTACCTCTGTGTTTCTGGGGAAGTGTGTGCTGGAGTGGCGGGGAGTATCCACCTTGAAGCCAGGCTGCGGCTTTGCCACTCACCAGCTGTGTAACATTGGGCAAAATACATAAGCCCCCAGTGCTCCATTTCTGCCTTTGAACGAAGAGGATAACAGTAACAGTGCCTGCCTCACCAGGTCTGTTGTGGCCTGTTGTGAGGATGATCCCAGTCAATATATATAAAGCACTCAGAACAGGGCTGGCATGCATATGGGAAGCTCGCGCCATAAGCATTTGCTTTTGTGGTCCAGTCCCAGATGCTGGGGACCCAGCCTCGTCTGCCTCCCAGTGGTGTGGAAACGGGTCTTCA